GCCTGTAACATTCCTATACATGGAACTGATTGAGTAATTATGCTTTTCATGCTACCAATTTAACTTTGTTGCTGGTAACGTTTCTCACAAGACGGAGGAAATAATGAAGAAATCAAACATTTGTAGGACTTGATGAAAATGACAAATAGTTGAAAATGTTTCTCATGAAAATAACACTCTTATTTTGAGATCACTTTGTGAAGATATCAGTGAAATTGTGCCATCTTGGAAAGTCTAATGGAGCTCTTGGCTAAGAGAGCTAAGAGTACACCACAGTACTCAGAACTCTGCTAAGGAGATGTGATCTCTATGGATTTGTATAGAATATAACTGGCCTATTTAACGTACAATTACAATATATGCCAGATCAAGAAAGAAAACTGACTTTATTTATAAAAGATGCTGCAGGGTTCTATGAAATGAGAGCAACAAAGATTTAGCAGAACAGCATCATTTGCAATTAAGTTACAGCAACATCTAGCGGTCAAATATCAAAAGCAGAATTCTAAGCAAATTTATCCATTGTTTTGGTACTTTGTTCAAACAGAAAAAAACTGAAAGCTACTTACATTTCAGGAAAGAGATTACCTTACTTTTTTTTTTTTTTTTCTTTTTTTTTTTTTTTTTTTCAGAATCTACTTTCTCATTTCCTTTTCACGGCAATGTAATTTAATAGACCACACAAATAGAGAAGACATGAGGTTCTCCTATTCAATCTAACTGTTTTCAGATATACTTGGAATGGAAATAAAATCATCTACATAACAGACAAGTTAACTGACATGTAACAATCATTGTGGTCTCTGATGTTATATGCGTGTTTAAACAATACTTAACAAAATACAGCTCTTGCCCATGACTGAATCTTCTGCAATTCTTAATAGCTTTTACTACCAGCAGTATGTTTATCTTAACAGTGGTGTTCTTGTCCTTCTATTAACTTTTAATTTCTACGGCTACTTTTTTACATTTCACTATTCATCTTAATGTGAAGGAAATTACAGGATTCCTGCCATAAAAATCAATTTTTTCCCCAGCAGTTTTGTCATTGGTGTACCAAAGCTGTTCTTGTGTCTTTCTTTTTTTCCTTAGTTGCCTTACAAAAAATGTTTTAATTATTAAAACTCTTCACAAATATCTTGCCAGCCTTGTCTAGCTCGCAGGCAATTAGATAGAAAAAATTGTCTTTTCAGGAACTAAATTTGAGTAATATGTAATACTACCTATTTCTTCCATATAGGATGTAGCCCATTAAATCCAATATTGTCCTTGCTAATAACAAGACATAGACTTTCATTGTTTGTAAAGCCTCGGCACTAAGGCATGTCAGACATACTTTGTTTGAATTTATCTGGACCTGTCGGGAGCTTTGTTGTAGCCTGCTTAGATGTAACAGCAATTTTTCTTATCAGTTGGCTAAGTAATTTCAAAAATTTAACGTTGAATTGAAAAATAGATCTGATGTAAACTGCAGCAAAAAGCACTTATTCTATATAAGCAATGTTTGTTCATTCTGATGTAATGCAGGAACACAGGCTTTGTATGATAGCAGAAGCCCTGAAATCAATGAGTTGCATGGAGTAATTATTAACCTTTTCACTCATCTGTAATTTTATGCAAAATATAAATGGAGTGGAAGCTATGTAGACACTGGTATGCTACACAGTGGGGATTTGTAATCTATAGTTCGAAGCTATAAGGAAAAATAAAAGTAGGCTTCAATCAGGAAGACAACCAGTCAAACAGTATTTCTGGCTGCAGATTTTATAGTTCTGAAAGTCACCGTGTGTAGTTAGAAATTAACTGTTCCATCTGGAGTCCTAAAATCTAGTCTGTACTTTGAAATTGTATTAGTCTCTTTGACAGTCATTCAAAGAATAAAGTCAAGCACTCTAGCTTTAGATTGGTTTACCACACAGATTTCTACTTGTGATGAAGGCATGCTAGACAACTATAAGGTTTATTTTCCTTTAAAGCAGTTCTGCTCATCTTCAGCCAATAGGCAGAATCTACTCTGCACCAAAACCCACAAACTGAGAAGTTCTGCTTTAAGGATGCAATCACAGAAACAATAAAATCATCACAGAGATGAGGGCTGCTCCAAAAGTAATACCTCCCATTTTATTATTTTGGCCCATGATATCAGAGATGGATCTTGGTGGTATGGCTTGTACAGTATGGATGAACCTTCCCACCATTATTTTGTTATGTTTTGTTGCCATTGACAGATGTCAGCAGAAGTGGTCTGACAAAATGGTGTCTGACATGGAAGTGCATATAAAGCAAAGGTATGTCACTGAATTCCTCCAGGTAGAAAAATTCACACCCACAGGCATTCACTGACGCTTGCTGAACATTTATGGAGACCAAACAGTGGATTGCCAGCACGGTGAGGCAGTGGGTGGTGCATTTCAGCAGTGGCAACGGCTAACAGCTTAACAGGTCAACGTTTTCGACATACTGAGAAAACTACATATTCACACACACAACTGGGATGTAATGAAATTTATTATGTATCGCTTTTAATGTTTTATTTCTTGTCTCAAATACTTGGCATAGAAATATTAAAATTAATATACACTTAACACTGAGGTCAGAATAATGATGTCACTAAATTCTGCATGCAAAATTAGCTCTGATTCACAGATAAATATGTCCTGTACTAGACAGTCTTTTATGAAATGTGTGACTTCTGGTGACTTTCCAAGTAAGGCAGGAAATTTATGAATTAAAAACAAAAACAAAAAACAACACAGCAGCTCGAGAGTAAACTAATGAATCCTGGAAAGTGCCAGGAGAAATTTCTGGTGAAATAAAATGGCATTTTAGTTAGTTTTGTCTTTCTAAAAGCCACTTGCTTATAATGCTTTCTTCTTTCTGAGGGAAAACAAAGAAAATCAGCACTCAACCGACTATTGTTGTTGTTGTTGTTGCCTATAGCTGTTTCTGGCATAACTATAGATATTACACAAGGAAGAAGGGAGAGAAAACAGATATTACAGATTGCAGTTTCCAGATCACAGAATTACAGAATCATAGTGGTTGTAAGGGAGCTCTGGAAATCATCTGGCCCAATTCCCTGGTAAAGCAGGTTCCTAGGAAAGTGTCTAGGCAGGTTTTGAATATCTCCAGAGAAGGGGACTCTACAATTCTCTCTAGAAATTCCATTTCTTGAAGACCTGGAGAGCTCAGAACTGAACACAGCACTCCACACGTTGCCTCTCCAGGGCAGACTAGAGGGGGAAGATCACCTCCTTCAACCTGCTGACCATGCTCTTTTTAATGTGCCCCGGGATATCATCAGCCTTCTTGGCCACAAGAGTACACTGCTGACTCATTGTAAACTTGTCCAACAGGACACTCAGGTCCTTCTCTGCAGAGCCCCTTTCCATAGGTCAGGCCCTAACTTATACCAGTGCATTTGGTTATTCCTTCCCAGGAGCAGAACTCCACCTTTGCTATTTTTTAACCTCATAAGGTTCCCCTCTGTCCAAATCTCCAGTTTGTCCTGGTCAGGTCTTGTGGTGTCATATAGCTTGTAGACAGTTTCTCTTAAAGGTAATGACAATAACTTGCAGCTGAGGCTGCCTGGTATGCAAAGACAGCTCTTTCCTTATTCTGATAATGAAACTCCAACTTGCTGAAGTCTAAATAAGGTATAGAATACGTATAGAGTACCAAGTCTTTCATGTTTTTGTTTTTCACTAAATGCAAAAAAAACCAAAAGCAATTGTATACTTTGAAATAAGAAACTGGGGGAAACATTTTTCTTTCCTTTAGTGCAGAGACTGTTTGGTTTGTGGTTTTTTTTTTAGTCTTTTCTGACAGCCTCTCAAATTGTATTAGAAGTAATACTGACTATTTTTGGGGGGGAACGGAACTTGAATTAAGGTCACACTCCTGTTGTAATCTGAAGCTTTATCTTGTCAGTGAATGACAAAAACAAACCCAGAAGATCCAGTAAATACAAGGTATATTTTTTCTCTAGTTCCAATTCTTACTTGCAATTTTATTACAGAAAGGACATGTCCTCAATTTGCATGGTCATTTAGTCTGTGGATTGTGCAAACTGGTTTTGGGGTCATTTAAAACTGGCCCTCCTGATCCTAGCTGTATAGGAGTTCCAGGATGTTAGGTTGCTCTTGGAGAGTCTTTAATTACATGGGCATACACTATTTTGTAGTCAAGGAAAGACAAGTCACACTACCTTGAGCTTAGCATCATGCAAACACAGTGACTTGCCTCTTTTTTTTATTTTTCATTTTTTTTCTTTTCCCTCCCCTGTCTAAAGCTCAATCACATTTCTCAGTTCAGAGAGAAAAAAATGTATTTTGAATTATGTAATCATTTCACCACCTGGTGAGTGATCTACAGGTGAAGGACTGGTGTGCATGAGAGAGCTACAAATGGAAGTGAAAAGTTTGCTTTGCTAAAAAATGCACATCTGCATAAAATGTCCTTCTGTATCCTTATCTGGGAGTGGACCTAAAGGTCTAGTTTACACTATGGAGCAACAAAGCTGCTGCTGCTTAGCTTTTTCAATGCCAACACTCCTACCTGCTACTATGCTAAATGTTGACCAACATTTTAGAGTCTTCTGAATTTGATAAAACAATAGGCCTCAATGCTGGCTGGTATTAACATTTCAACATCTGAAAACACGGTATTGCTGGTGTCATAAAGTACACTGCAGTATTTTCCTCTGTGCCAATTCTTCCACTTGCCTTTGAGTTCACAAACGTCTCCTAGCCTACGTGAATGGGATCAACAAAAATGCAGCAGCTGATCCTACAGAAATTGCTGCTAAATGTCTGCTTTGCTCCTCGATGTTTGTTCCAAACACTGCATTTCCCCAGCTTTTCCTCCCTAGTGGCAGAGAGGCTGAGCCGCCGTTACGGCAGGTCACACAGAGCGAGCGCCGCCACGCGGACAGCCGCAGCCGCTTCCCGCCCAAACGCGCCCCGGCCCGGCTCCGCAGCAGCCCCGCCCCGACGGCTGAGGCGTCTCGCGCCGCCGGCCCGCCCTCCCGCCGAGATGCGGCAGGCAGCCTCTGCTCTCGCGCGACTTGTGGCACCGCCGCCGCTTCCGGCTTTGCGCTGCAATGGCGGCGTCGGGCAGCGAGGAGGAGCGGGCGGGTGGCGCGGCGCTGGGCGCGGGACAGTGTCACCCCGGCGTGGCGCGACGGCGTGGACGGACGCTCCTGGTGCGGCACCTGCCCGCCGAGCTGACCGCGGCGGAGAAGGAGGATCTGCTGCAGCACTTCGGGGCGGTGGCCGTGCGCGTCCTGTCGGACCACGGACGGCTGGTGAGGGCGCGGGCGGGAGGAGGCCCAGGCCGCCTCGTTCGTGGTTCGGGGCGGCCCGGTGGGCATCGGCCTTGGCCGTACTTGGGAAGGAGCGGGGCAGCGCGGGGTGCTCGCTGGGAGGGCAGAGATCCGCCCCGCAGCGCTGCCTCTTGCAGTCATAGAGTCGTTTGATTTGGAGGGAACCTTTAAAGGTCTTCACACCCCTGCAATGCAAAAATTTCTTATTCTGATTTCTTACAAAGAACGTTCCCTAAGCCTCTGCCACGCGCTGCAGTTAGAAGAGTGATAAGTGGAAATTTTCTTAGCTTTCTGATTTGAACTCAGTGTGGCATTGTGTTTGTTTTCCAGAAACATACTGCTTTTGCTACTTTTCCTAGCGAAAATGCTGCTGTAAAGGTTTGTATTCAAATTTGTTATTAAGTGTTTTAGCAAAGGACTTCTCTGTATTGCTATTTGTTCCATAACGTTTTACATGTGATCTGCTGTAGAGCAACATAAAATGTTACTGTTTCAGAAGTCTCCTGTTTTTATCTGGGACAGAATTGACTGCCTTCCTAGTGTCTGGTATGATGCTGTGTTTTGGCTTTAGGAGAAAACCAATGTTGATAACACACAGATGTTTTGGTTGCTATTGAGCAGCGGTCTACAGAACCAAGGATGTTTCAGGCACTCAGGTTCTCATACTGTTCTGCCAGCACAAGGACTGGGGAGCACAAGGAGCTGGGAGGGGACAGAACCAGGACAGCTGACCTAAACTGGCCAAAGAATATTCCATACTGTATGGCATCATGCAGAAAAAAAAAAATAAACCTTGAAAAATGGAGGGGAGTTGGCCAAACAGGCAGCTGCTTGGAGACTGCATTGGTCAGCAGGTGGTGAGCGATTGCTTGCACATCATTTGGTTTGCAAATACACATATGTATAAATTTCCTGTGTACCTATCTGTGTAACTACCGTTATTTCTCTCTTCCATCTTTGTAAATAGTTCTTATCTCAACCTGTGAGTTCTAACTTTTTTTTTGACTCTTCCCCCATCTCACTGGGAGGAGAGGTGGCTGTGAGCAAAATGCTGCATGGTGTTTAGCTACTTGCAGGGTTAAACCACAAAGAGGAGGATTTGCAAAAAAACCTGCCACTTGCATAGATTCATAGGAAAGATGGGTTGGGTCTTTGAAAGTCATCTGGTCCAACCTGTGACTTTAGAGCAAGTCACATGAGATGATGCTGATGGTGTTTTGTCTAGGATGCTTGTGCATTCTTGTATAAGCCGTAAAACAAACCTAAGTTGCTTGTCTCGTGCACAATTGGGTATGTGACAAAATTTAGACATAGTGAAGTAAACAATTCAAAGCTACCTTGTGTGCCCAGCCTCAATAATAAGAAGAAAAATGTCATGTTAGTGGAAGACATGCATGTAGAAAGGTAATACTAGTGATGTCTCTTAAATCTGACTGGTGAAAAGCCTCTGTCCTGAATTCTACTCTAGAATGTTTATTAAGTCATGCTATAAAGTAATATTGAAAGAAGGCACAAAGACTTTGTGAGATAAACAGTGGTGAATTTAGGTTGCTTTGTGTCTTGATAGTCTACCAACAACAGACTTGCAGAAAACTTGAGCTTCACCATATAACAACTAGGCATCATGATTTACAACTTACAGATTCTGAGATAGTACTGGTAGACTACAGCACGTGTGTAGTTCGTAAGAGAGGCATTTGTTTCTTGAAATCAGAGGTTTACTAGTCTGTGTAATAAATGTCGTTGAGGCTACAGTCCCACTACTATGTTCAGATTTAAAATTTGAAGTCTTGCTTTGAAACAATCTGATATTTTTCCTCTTCTGTTTCTTTCCTTTTTCCATTATAATCATTTGAAGGCTTTGTCAAGACTGCATCAGCTGAAACTTTTAGGGCACACTTTAGTTGTTGAATTTGCAAAGGAGCAAGATAGCGTGCAGGTACTTAACCAGCCTTCACAGTCAGACAAATGTAAAAGGTATGTGGATAATAATTCAATTTGTGTGTGTTCAAGGAAGTGTAATTCTGTATTCATAACATTTTCCTGGTACTGTTAAGTGAAAGGGTAAATCATAGCCTTTTAGTAATGTTAATAGATGTGTTCAAATCTGTAGATAAGCAACTTCATTCCTCCTATTAGTATTGTTCCGTTCAGTTTAATCTTGAAACAATCCCCATCCTTATTCCTGTAGGTTAGTCTTTCACTAGAGATAGTCCTGCTAGTTTTCATGTAGAACAACAGTCCAGTCTATGTAAGATGACCTCTATGATACCCACGTTCCCTGTGCTTAGGAGTCTCTTCTGCTGCTTTTTTGTGTCAGTGTTGTAGTGTCATTTTGCCATCAGCAAGTACGTGCAGTGTTTTCCTGGTGTTTCTTTCTAATCTAACTGAGTCAGGCAAAATTGACACCTGTAGGTATGATTGCATAGGGCTGTACTACCTAAGTTTGCATGTATCTGTGTTGAAGCATGAGCAGATCAAATACGAAACAGAATCTCTCTTAAAATGTATAAAGAATATATAAATAAAAATACAAAAGTAAATCCTAATTATAGCGTCATCAAGGACTATGATAGTTTGGATTTCAAATATTTGTCAAGTATTTAATTTAAAAAAAAACAAATTGTGCAGTTAAGCTTTCAGATTTACCTGTGCAGTACGCAATAAAGCAATAAAAGCTATGTCATCATGCTTAATTAAAATCAGCTGTAGAGCTTTTAAAAGTTAATTAGTCTGCTCTGAACATGAACAAATCAATAACAATACTTTTTATCTTATAACCTTTGAACAAAGAGTAACACAGATAGTTTTGGTTCTTTTCCTGTGAGTAGATTTAAATGAGAAATGTATAAATACGGGGAGACGCTCTTTGATATGGATAAATATTTATTTGCATAGGCCTGTCTTACAGATCTGGCTGCTGTACCTGCTGTAATAATGCCATTGATAAAAGTTCTTAAAAATACTATACTGATACATTTATAATATTTTTTGAATGTTTGAAATGAGAGGTTGTTTGGAAGGCAGTGAACTTTTTCCCTGTTTTAATTAATGTTATTTTTTAGTTCAGAAGAGCCGGTGAAAGAAGAAGAGAAGAGAGAACCAAGCTGTCTTAAAATAGAGAATGGAATTGCACCTAGCCATGGGTTAATATTTTTAGCTTTTTAACTTTTTTGTTCTGTTAAGGCTTATTTTGTAATAAGTGTTATATTCTGTTGAACAAGAAACAATGTAGTAGTTTTGTTTTATAGAGTACTGCTTTTCTACATGCGTAGCTGTAGGCATTTTTTTCGTAAGGATAAAGTTCATAGTTCTTCAAGTTTAGGTGCCTTATAGTTGAGTAATGACCAATACTTTGAGACATGAAGCTACTGGTTGCCTACAAGTCTTCTAGTGCAGTTTGTTGCTTTCTCAAGAGTTTTAACAGCTGAGTGGGCTCTCTTAATGCTAACAGCAGAGTACTCCTGATGTTTGAGTTTTAGACAGTTTGGTCTTTTTTTCCTCTGTTTGTATTTTTGCCTACACGAAAAATAATTAATCCAGCACTTGAAGTTTTGGGTTTGTGATGTTGGAAGATGTTGGTCCTGTCGTGTGTTTGTTAGACTTTCTGCATGTGTAGCTACTTATTTTCCTTGTGTCCAAGCCCAGTAAGTCTGGTATATGCTAGGGGACGTTCTGTTCCCCAGTGCTAAAAACGTAATGTGGGTGGCCCAGCCAGTCAAGATGATACGTAACTGTTCTAGGGAGAATGGTAATATTTCAGTGATATTTCAGATGTAACTAACAGCTAAATTTTTAGTAACCATTAATTGTTATCAGCTATTTTATGGCAATGGAGCTAAGATTCATTGTTTTTATTATTTTTCCTCAGCCTCACATTTCCCATCAATTCTTGCCTCAAGTATCTGTATCCACCACCTTCAAGCACAATTCTAGCAAATATAGCAAATGCCTTGGCAAGCGTGCCCAAGTTTTATGTTCAGGTAAGTGGGGGAAAAAAAACAGCGAAAAATAAAGTATAGAAGTAAAAACATGTCCTTTTTCCTCTTCTAGTTATCCATGGAGATAATGTTTTACATACTAAATACAAGTTAGCTGTCCTGTGATACTGTTAACTAGCATTAGTTCTTGGCTATGTTGAGACTTCATTGACCAGAACTAATGGTTACTTCACTGATGTGGAAGGCTTACGTGGATCTTCTGAATTCACTTATAATTTCATACTGAGATGTTTTATGTACTTCTTACTAGCCTTTTCAGGGTGTGGCTTGTATTTACTCTTATTGTTGCATCTCATTTGCTGGCTTTTACATATTTTGGTAACCTGTGTGGTTGTACTGCCATTAAAACTACTGATTTCTACCTGTCAGAAGTAATCAGCTCTGATATCTAGCAAGGAACTGTATTTATTTCACTAGTGGAAGTATTTCTTACCTTGAATCATTTCAGGTACTTCATCTTATGAATAAAATGAATCTTCCTCCGCCTTTTGGACCAATTACTGCTCGTCCTCCCATGGTAAGTTTTAAAATATACGTATTTAGGTACTGGAAAAAGGATTCACAATTTAAAATATAAGAAGTGTGTTAAGAGATCCAAAGTTCAAACTTCTAAAAATGATTTTGTACGTAGGTAATTCCTTGTAATATGCGGTTCCATACTCTTAATGAAAAATCAGATTCCTTTCATGAAATCCTCACTTCTTATAGAAATGGTGTAGTTTTGGTAGCTGTTGGAAAATTCAGTGTATAAACTGAAATAGTTTAATAGCTCAGGGCTCCTTTTCTGTGTTCTGAAAAAAAGTCCTTAGGACTACATGCAATGTTAAAAAAAAACAAAACAAAACAAAAAACCCCACAAACCCCTGCAGGGATCTAGTTTCTGCTTTTATATTTAACTCTTCAAATAAAAAGAATGAAATTATCCACTTCCACGTATTGGAATTTTTTTTTTTACTGCAAATTTTTAATTACTAATGTAGTTTATCAGAATGGTGTATAAATCTATATAAATGTACTGTAAAAAGCCATTTCTTACTATCTGGTAATGTATCGCCTTGGCTTTTTATTATATACAAAGGAAAACAAGATGCACAAAGTTTTTACTTAAAAATCGTTCGTCACCTTTTTTACATTCTCCTCATTACCAGTATGAAGAGTATTTACCAGTGCCTGTGCCACCCCCACCAATTCCACCTTTGCCTCCTGAAGAGCCTCCTTTGCCCGAAGAGGAAGAAGAGCAAGTCTCTAGTGGAGATGAATCAGAATATGAAAGTGATAATGAGGAGGAAAAAGAGAGGTGTGCATTTTACAGTCTTTTTTTAATACATTGTTTTTACTTTTCTGGATACTTGTTCAGCCACTGGTTAAATCTCTGAACACTTGCAGCCTATAGGTGTGTCCCCGATGTGTTACGAAGCTCCATAGTAAGTGAAAAATGGAAGGATAGTGCTGTTTTGAATGACAGCAGGAGGGTGAATGTGGCCATGTGTGCACAGAAGTTAGGATTTCTTACTTTGGAAAAAAAAAAAAAAAAAAAAACAATCCAAAAACTCATAATGAAAAGAGAGTGCAGGTATAATGAATGAAGCAATGAATTGTTTTCTGGTTTTCTTCAGTTTTCTGCATTTTTAGAGAGTAAATTACTTAGCCTAAATAATTTTGCCTCCTGACTTTCAAAATGTTCTTTGTACATCGAGTGTGTATTGCTAGAGAAATAATAGTGGGAAGAGGTTGCGATTCTCTTGCAGGTTTGGGAATGAATTATAGTAGAGCTGTTTTTAAGCCTTAAAACAGTACTCGATGAAGAAATTGTCTTCTTCATCTGCTACTAAAAATGAAATAACTGAGCTATGTTCAGAAAAATACATGCATCGACTGTATATAAATATAAGTTTTTATATAAATAACTTATATTCTGAAAAGTTGCATTTCAAAGTCTTAAAAGAAGGGAAAAGGGCTGCATTTACAAGTGAGCATTCTCAAATAAAATGTAAACCAATTTGGATCTTTTTTAACTTCGTTTTATTTATATTAGAATGACCAAATTGATGGAATTAGCGAACCTTCAACCTAAAAGACCAATAAACACGAAGAAGCGTGGTGTTAGAAAAAAGCAAAGAATTAAGGACTTACTGAATGTTCCCACATGTACTCCCCACAGGTTTGTATTATTTTTCTGCTTGCATATTTTCAGAAAAAAATCATTCTTTTTGTACAGTGTCTTTCCCCGCATCATGTTTTCTATAGTGTTGTTTTAATGAAAGTATTCTCTGGTATGTAAGTTGGGCCTAATTGCTTGCAAGGTAGCATTGTCATGTAGGGTGAACTAAAGTCTGTTTGACAACCATAGTATTAAAGTTCTACTTCTATTTCTTTCTCTTGCTATTAAAAGAACATTTTTCATTAAAAAATAAAAACAATTTCATGTTACAGTGCTGATAGAAGTGATCTGTATGTATTGCTTGAGGTAATTCTGAAAAACAAAAAAATGGGGGGGGGGAGGAGAATAAGAGCTGATTTTGTTTAGATCATCTTGATTTTTGAAATTGCAGTACTGTGGCACAATAGCCACCAGAGTTTCTATCTAGTGATAATCAATTGTGAATACAGTATTTTTTTGTAACAGCCTTCTTCCTGCAATTGGGTTGGAATATTTTTCAAACTTACGAGAGCAACATGAATGCCAGTTACGAAAAGCTGTCAGTAACCTAAATAAGAAAAATAAGTGCCTGTCTGAATGTTTAACATGTTGTTGTTTTAAACAGTAATTTGCACCCTACCCTGTCACCTTCAGATGTCTTTGAGCAACCACAGCATGTAGGTCTTAAAAAGATTGAGTTCCATATTACTAGTGACATCCCATCTGTTCTTCAGATAAACTCGGAAAGAGAAGAAAAAAATGGTAAGCATTTGTACTTCAGATTTATCTAATGTGAACTTCATGTGGTTTCAGTATGCAGATGGCTGCTAAAATTCAGACCAGACAATCCTGTTCGTTGTTCTTTTGTATTGGAGAAGATTTCATAGATAGTATACATCAGAGTTTAAGAACACCAGCTTGCATCTTGTCTGCATTTGTTGCTTTTCGTGTGTTAAAGAGAGCTCAGTGCTTTCATACGGTGCAGGATGTAGAGCATTTTAAAAGTCTTTCTGTCCTTCTAGTATGCGTGTTTATAGTGAACTGCAGCTTTTTTAAAAATTTTTTTAAACTTTATGTTGCCTGCAGCAAGTACAGTACAAATGTATTCTCAGTATTATATCTTGTAATTGAATGGATCAAGATAATTTTAGATCTTCTTTTTCCAGCTCTTAGAGACTAGTATTAAGATGGTTGCCAGCTTCTTCTCTGTGTTACACTGATAATCTGCAGTAAAAATGCAGGACAGTGCCAGCAGTGAGGGTGTGGTTGTTCCTTATAGGGTTGTGGTTAGTTTGTGTATTTCAGTATTTTAGAGCTTCCTTAAATGAATATTAAGTAAACCATTGATACAGGCTTTGAATAGCAGGGCTAGTTTTAGTTTAACAGGCATGTGCTGTGACTTGTCTTGGTACTGCAGTTGATATTGTAGAACAAATCCTATTTGTCCAGTCAGAAATTAATAGAACTTTCCTTAAGGATGTGCTCAGATTTCTTTACAGAGTCTGCTACAATTAAATGTTAATAAAAGGAATATACTCTTTTTGCTTGCTCTTGTTCCTCTTGTGAACAATCGTATGACTTTCTTGTATAATGTGTTCAAATTATAGATCCTTATGCTACCACAGAAGAAATCAATAATACAGGATTTGGAAGGATTTTTCCAACTCCTAGCTCAAATGATAAAATGGAAACAGAGGAAGAAGATGATGAAATACCATCAGAGTTTATTTCTAGAAGAGAACTAGAGAAAAACAGACTTTCTAGAGAAGGTACAACTGTGACAATAAATTATGTAATAGAAACTGCTTGCTTTGTTGTAATAAAAAGTTTAAGTATTTTCACTATTAATTTACCATATGTAATTTAATAATTTGTTTTATTCTTAGCAAAAA